TTTAAACCTTCCTGTTGTCCCACTTGACATTTGACAAACAAAAGTATACCTAAGTCCTTATTTCACTTCCCACCTCTGGTTTTTACAAGGATCTCCAACACCATGGCTGACATGCAGCTAAAACCACGATATCTTCAGGCTCGGTCCTCTACCAGAGGCCTGGGAGCTTCAGGGTCCTGCAGGATCTTAGCTGTTCCCAGGACTGCGATAGGACAGAGATCTCCGATGTTGCGCACCTGCGGACCACTTATGTGCACCCGTGTAAATAACATAAATTAACTGTGGTGTATCACATCTTTGAAAAGCTGAGTTCAATCTCTCTGGCCTGATTACTGCCACACCTGTTCTCAATAAGGGCCTCACTTAAATCTTTCTCAACACTTCCTCTAACGTCCAGCAGAGGCAGCAGTGAGTCAGCACACTCTCACGTTAATAAACATGTTTAAAGCCTCAGAGACTGCTTTGATCATTTTCCCCTCAGAGCACCTGTACACGAGACGCATGACTTTAGAACTCACAGTAAGGGTTTTAATTTGCATTATTAAGGCGTGGCCTCTTTGACTGACAGGTGATGTCACACAGCAGGTAACCTCAGCCTCAAAGGTGTGACGTAAACTTGATTGATCTCCTCAGATGACGACATGCTTCCAGTGTTTTTGTGAAGTTTTCTGTGAATGGACGACAGCACGGCGCTGTTGTCTGTTCTCACCAGCACGCTGAAGCTCTGGGACTACACAAAGGTACGCTCTGTCTCAGTGTGTGAAGATGAGAATCAGAAGTACTCTGAGCTGACCTTTGACCTCTATGTACCCCTCACCTGTAATCTGTGGCTCTAAATCCAAGGTTTAATGATGAGGATTATTCCATTTTGGGAATTCCAAAACTTATTCCCAGTAACTGTCTGTGCAGTTCCCAAGGAACAGGTCATGTGACCTGCAGTGTGCGTTTGGTCCACCACGGCGTGATGACTCATGCCGTCTGTTGTATTAGCAGCTTCGCAGCTGAGACCGGATCATTTCAGACGTGTGAGAATGAAAGCTCGACGTCAGCTCGGTTCAGCCCTCACAGGACGTAGGCCTTGACCTTTGACCCGTGTGTTTCAGTGGATCATGTCCGACTTGGACCTTCAGACCAAAGATATCATTAAGAAGCTCACAGGTTTGACCTTCACCCTTTCACACCGCTTCGCTGATGCTAGCTACACAAAGCGCTTCATATGTGGGCGGGGCTTAGAATTTTCTGTGACTGTCTTCATTATGAGAACCTTTAGGAGGAAGCTCTGTGGATTTGTCGCTGGTCTTCTGGTTTTTGGTTCTGTTTCCGTGTCTGTGGCTACGTGGTGACCTTAACCACCTGTCATACGACAGAAAACATCATCACGTTCGCCGCACTGGAAAACCACAAGACCATCAAACTGTGTTCGCCGCAGTCCACAGCCCGACCCTAACTGGTTTAATTCACCTGGAAGACACACAGATACAACTAAACCAGGTCCAGACTGGAAACCAGTTCAGTTAAAGGGCCAATTCAGTAACTCTTTGATCCACAAGAAAAGCCTTAAACTTTCCAAGGACTGGAAGCACTTTAAACCTGCAGATGAAGAGACTTTTATTTTGAAATCGCTTCAGGTTGTCAATTATTTTGGTGAAAAGCTCCAGGCTGTGTTTGTCTTTGACTCTTCATCATGGACTTTTTCCATTTCTGAGGCACAATCTTCACTTCCTTTCCCCTCCCTTTCATAATAAAAGTCCTCCTGTTGTTCAACAGTAAGTCACTTTGTTCCCTGAAGGCTTTTATTGTTTAAGATTATTATTATTATTATTATTATTATTATTATT